TCATTACCAGCCTCCTTCGTCCTCAAACGCAGAAAAACCCTAACCCTAGCCTCTCCTTGTGATTCTTGAGCTTTTGGTGGTGTTTTCGTGGCTTGAAGAAGAAGAGATCACCTTTGGAGCATAGATCCAACTTGGAAGCTTCATTTGCATCTTCTAGCAACATCTCCGGACCTTTGTGAGTAACCAAAATTCAAGCTTTATGATTCCTTGTTGCTAGATCTAAGGTTTTATGCATGATTATCCATGGTTAGTGATCTTATCTATCATTGTGGTTTAGTATAACAACTAGACATAATATTAGCTAAAGAGTTTGGGCAGAGTATCTACCGGGCATAATATCATCCTATTGTTATGAGCATAATTAACTATAAAAGCAAAAGGTTTACGAGATAATTATTTACTATAAAAGCCATATCTCACCCATACTGTGTCAGATTTTTACGAGATTTATATTTCTGGAATCGCGGTAACCTATAGAGTCTAAATATGTTAACCTGCTCTCAAAGTGACACAACTTTTTGTGTAATTATTTTTGAGCCTATGGTTTGACGTAAATAAGGGTGATAGTCGAAATATTAGGCGCTTACAATATTGTTTTATCGTGTTTTGACGTTGGCTATCAATGGCAACTGAGGAGGTATTCTCGGGGTTGTCATAGCCCTTCCCCTTCGAACTGAAAGTACCTAAAAAACATTTTAAACATAAACCGCAATCACAAAGCTTATTGAGTTTCCCTAAAATACCACATACCATACATACATTGCTATGGGCAACCCCCATGGTCTTGCATACAAGTGCATTGGCTACCCCCCTCGTCTTTTCCCTGGAATGTGATGGGCTACCCCCAGGGTCTTACAACCAAGTGTCATGGGCTATCCCCATGGTCTTTCCTTGAAATGCCATGGGCTACCCCAATGGTCTAACATCCAAGTGTCATGGGCTACCCCCATGGTCTTTCATGCAATTACCATGGGCTACCCCCATTGTCTTTCATACAAAAGCAACGGGCTACCCTCGGGGTCTTCTATGCAAGTATCACAAAGAAAACTAACATCGTACATAGTATAGTGAGAATACTCACATCAACCTGATGATAAATATTTACACACCCAAGCTGCTGCTACAAAGGCTCCTCACACTGAACATATCCAAAATTGACCTTAATTAACAATCAAGGTAATAATCCATAATCAATGGTCCAAATCATATTGTATCTTACTAAGGGTAAAAGACTATTTTACCCTTCCCATACTTGACCCAACTAATCATGGCCCAAAACCCATAATGATCCAAGGCCCCAAAATCGCCCAAATGAGCTTTTGGGAGTATGCCATGTGTACTCCATAATTACGCCCAACGTACTGGGTAATCATAGAAAAGGCGTACGGGGCCAACCTGTTACGCCATGCGTACACAAAGGTTATGCCCAATGTACACAAAGGTTATGTCTAAAATCACTATTAAGCTCTTAATATTTAAAGTCTAAATGTCCAATTCACAGATCACACTCTTGGGAAGTCTTAACTGATAAAGTTGACAACTTTAAGCTTTTGCATTGCTTAATAGAGCCCAAAACCAAACCATAGGTTCATAACTTCACAAAATGACCAACAATTCATGCATGGGTGAAGTATAACCTTCAAGACCCGATTTTTATGCAATAAGGACCTCATAAACATCAAGAAATGCTAACCTAAGCTTCTGGAGTAGCTTTTACTCACAAGAGTCGACCTTTGGGACCAAAACATGCCAAAACCCTAAGCTATTCTATATCTATGCAAGATAACCATAAAGGTTGAGACTTTATACCTTTTGGAAGATGACGAAGAAGAGTAGAGTTTGGATCTACAAGATATGGACTCCAAGCACACTTTCCAAGTTCTCATTCTTCACTCTAACACACCAAAAATCACACAAAAGCTTGAGATTCTCACAAATGGAACTAGGATTTCGTGGGGGCTGAAAGAGGGGGCGATGGTTGAAGGTAAGAAGGGTCTCCAAGGGATTAAGGTCCTTAAATAGGTTCCAAGACCCTAAAATTAGGGTTTGCATTCATCACGAGTACGCATTGCGTACTTAAGGAAACCCCGCGTCAAAGTTTAATGAGTTACCCCCCGCGTAACTCTTATTTACGCCCCGCGAAATGACCCATTTTGCAAAAAAAATTAATATATATAAACATTAAAAGAAATTACCTGGAACCAGGCGTTACACTTTGGATGTAGTCAAGACGACTTTGTTCAATGCATGTATAAGCATCCACCAAATATTGTCGCAACAAACGATAAACATTAAGTATTAACGAACAAATGTCATGACGCGCATGGATATGATAACTGTAATACATATTTATTGTTAGATTTATTGTTTTCGAACCCGTTTCATTCGACAACTCCACGAGTGGGAACTAACCATCTTCTCCAAACGGAAACAATAATGGATATTGTAAGGCCATATAAATGGGGTGAAGTTTACTAACCCACTGTGGAGGCTAAGATATTGAATGCACACTAATATCATATTTACTGGTGACAGAGTCATCACCACAAACAATGCAACCTAGTGTCCCTAGCAGCGGAGCATCATATCTACGATCAGGTACATTGTTGAAAAGACACACATCATACGACTCCAACTGACCTGCAACAACAATTTCTTTCGTTGTCTTGAAAGTACGCACATATGCATTATGAATTGTCAACTCCTCCATCAGGGTTGCAACGATATGTTAGTCTAAAGGTGCCTTTAACGGATCCTGAAAAGCATTTAACCTGTTTGAGAGTTCATGATCAGTATCAACAATGTACAGCTGCAAAAATCGTGGACCGTTATCATCTGGGGACATACTAAACCTATCCAATGCGATATTTGACCGAAAACCTTAAAAACATTCAGACCGGGTCCCTTGTTAATATCCTCATCGACAACAACACCAAGAGACGTCATTGCAAACATGCTGTTGTAAGCTCTTATGTTTTGAAGGAAATTAGCATTAGCTTACAAATCACGAAACACAGGTGGATGGCAACGAGGATAGGGCAATACAACAATCCATGATCTACAACAATGCATATAACATGGATGATCAGAACGGGACAATAATATCACCCTCTATGCATACCAGAAGAGCGCACAACAAAACTCACAAGTGACTGAGCAATCAACACAGTCATCGTAAGAAGGGAGTGAAGGAACCAAAAGAGGAGAATAAAAGGCGGAGAGATGGCGGGACTTACGCGACCTTCATCCAACAACCCCAGTATAAGACCACCCAACCTGGAACACAACACATTTACAACCCCTCAACATTATCGTTATACATACAATTAAGTGACAAAATCCAACACAAATACCGAGTACATGGTAAAAAAATCCCAAAAATGTGACAGAGATGAAGCAAAAAAAACCTAGCAGACAAATTGAGCAAAACAACGATACAAAAAGCCAATACAACCTTAATCCCAAAATCGAAATACAAAATACAAAACTAAAACGAAGCACAAATAAAATTATTCACCAAAAAAGGGAATGAGAGACGAACTAGTTGCAAATAAAAAAAATAAAAGAACGTAGGCAAGGGTTACGCGGAAGAGCAAGAAGAATCCAATCAAGTGAAAAATGTGGATTGACAGTGATCGAAGCAACCCCATTGGAGGAAGATTGCGGCAAACATTAGAAACGTAACATGAAGAGGACCTCCAAAGTTACATCCAATCAACAATCATGGGTGCGGAAGCAAGCTACTAAAATACAGGGACCAAAAGAGACAATTACGTAAATTATGGTGGCAAATCTGTGAAACAATATTACAATATTTAAGCTACTAAAATACAAGGACAAAAAGCGACAATTACCTAAATTATGGTGGCAAATCTGTGAAACAATCATAGTATATAATGACAAATCTGTAAACAGTCATAGCAAAACTGACCATAAGATCACGTAATTTAATAGTATATATAATTAAAGATTTACAAATACATATTGCCTTAACCCCCAAGAAAAGGGTAGGTGCATGACTTTTCGTTTTCTGCTCCTATTTTGTCTTAACATATTTAATATATTTATTTTTTTATTATGTTTTTTTATCAATTAATAATAAAAGATTTATACGGTTTCACTCTCAATCGTCGATAATCATATTTGGAAAATAGAAACTTAAACTTTACTTTTAATAGGGTAAAGGGTAAATTATAAAGTAAACTACCATTTTTTTATTAAATATTTTAAATATGAAAAAATAAACAAATATTTTATCAAATTAAAATATAATATTTTTGACTGATAAATGTAAATAAATATTTGGTCAAATAATAGCCATTAATATGGGGAAATAAGTAGGTCTTTCTAGAAAGCAGATTTTGCTGAAAATTATTTTATTTTTTGAAAAAATGATAGCCTTCAATAGTTTGACAATATTCCATGATTTGTATTTATTAAATAAATAATACTATTTTTATTTATTTATTTATTTTTGTATTTTTCTCACTTATAAATTGCATTGGATAGGACTTAGGAGGAGTCTACAAGTACACTTCCACCACCTCCCCGTGTTATCCGTTTCTCTATAGAAACAAGTACACTTCAATCAACCCCTATTTATTTATTTATATGTATTTATTATTTATATATAAATCATTTGAATCTTGACTTAATATCAATATTGCAACTTTTTTTTTTCTTTTATTTATTTAAAGTTTAAAGTTAAAGATGCGATTATTTTTTGTATGGATATACACAATAATAATTTTGGCTTAGCATAGTAAATTTTAATCATAGTTTAAGTTATTAACTGTTATTCTGAAAATGGTAAGTGAGTGTAGTGAGTTTAATACGTGGTATTTATTTAAGTATTGATTCAAGTTTCAAACCAATAATAGATAGATAAAAAGAAATAGAGAAAATGGGAAAGATATAACGACGTCGTAAAAGGGATACTTTGGTTGGTTTGTAATACTCCCCACCACAAATAAGTAAAGGCCTCCGTTCCAGCGAATCAATCCCTTGTCTCTCGTCTCTCTTATCATTTTCCCCCTTCTCCCTCTCTCTCTCTTCGCTCTTCATCAAACATTCATTTTCGTTTTAATTTTCTCTTCTTCCCACCCTTTTCAACTCCTTCTCTCTCTACAATTCTCCCTCTCTCTCTCTATCTCTATATGTCTTAGGGTTAGGGTTTTCTGAAATTTTATTTACAAAATTATGCAGCAAAGGAACATCATCAACTCTATCGGCAAGCTATGCAATTTTGCCCTAATCCAACTATCTGCTTCGTCCATGGCTTAAATTAGCTTCGTTTTTTTCTTTTCCCCTTCAGGTATAATCCTCTTCTTCTCTTAACCAAACACGCGCGCACTGTGATTGATTTAATTCCTTTTGCTTAAGTATTCCCTTTGTGTTTTGACATGTTTTGTTGATTCTTAGTCATGCTTGCTTTCTCTTTCCCTTTTGATGTTTATACATGATAAGTTAGGGCTTATTTTTTTTTTTTTTTTTTTTTTTGCTTACTAATTTGCGAGTTTCGTGTATCCGAATGATTTTTAGGGCTATGTTCTGGTAATCTAAAACCAAGGGAATCTGTAATTTGTAGAGTGTGTTTTTGTGGTCCATTGAAAGTTGTGATTCTGGGGATGTAGGGTTTTTTACATTGTTTATTTGATTTTTAGAATTTCTGCTGTTATTGTCAACTTTAGCACGACTTAGCATGTGAAGTATGAGTAAACTGAGCATTGTAGGCTTTGTATAATGTTTGTTCGATTCCTTCTCTTTGTTAGCTTATTTGTATTTACCGAGTTTGAAGCTTGTATAAGATTTATAGAACTCTGTCTGGGCCCTTGAATGTTTTTGAATGTTGGAAATGGTTTCTGTTTGTGTTTTCTTCCACCACTGGTATTTATTTCTATGATTTGATGAAAAGAAGTTTAGGTTAGATTCCTTCTTTCTGCATTTGTGTCTTGCTATAGAACTTCATTCAAGACTTGTATATCAGAATAAAATTCTTCTGGAAAGCCTTGGCTAATTTATGGATGGCTAAGAATTATGCATGTAAAAAAGAGAATGTGTTTGAGCTGTACTACGTATGTTTTTACAGTGGTAGCAGTCTTGGAATGGATGTGTATAATGTTCCTGAACATGGAAATGCAGATGCTTACCTGGTAATAAAACAACCGAGAGAATGTCAAAACATAATATAACTTAAAAAAAACCAATAATATTGAACATACATATATGTATAGTTACAAGTTACAACTTGGATTTGATTATAATGTTTCTTTCCTCCCAGATTCAAGGCACTACCGACCCAAATTCACAATTAACAAACCGTGTTCTTGAACCACTTGAAGCTGCTATGTATAACGAAGGCACTCCAGAGTTTGTGGTTGATCAGGGCATGTATTATCCTTCTGCTACCAATTACGGCTATATTTGTACAGGTAACTTTCTAATTTTTTTTTTTTTTTTTTACTTTCTGCATAAAGTTAATAAGTACGTTGCAGTGCCTGACTATGTTTTAACAGGATTGGAATCGCCAGGTGATTGGGATGACCACCATAGAGTTTTTGGTGTGGATGGTCAAAATATTCAGTTCATAGTAAGCATACAAACTCTTTGGTTTTGTTTTTGTTAATCTTTCATTACTCATAATGTATGTGTATTGTTCAGGGCACTCAAACAGAAAGTATGCCTTATGTGTATTATACTACACCTAGCTATGGATATGCAGAGTCTCCATATAACCCTTACAATCCTTACATCCCTGGTGCGATGATAGGATCTGATGGCTCCTATGTAGGGGCACAACAGTACTACATACCTTATGAAAATGGTGCCTCTTCACCAGCTTATTATCCCATGCTTGTTCAAACCAGTCCAGACACTTTGACAACAACAGATCAATACATGGATATGCCCACATCTAATTGGATCGATCCATCATCAGCAAATCCAACAAGGGCTGCTTCAAACCATGCAAATTCTTTTGGAAAAGTTTCAGAAGGGTATAAAAGTAATGATAACAAATTACCTGCAAACAATGGTAATGGTAATGGTAATGGTGGTGTGACTTCCAGCAGTGGGAAAACTACATCTAATCATAACAACGGGCTAAAAGTTAGTGTTCCTTCTGGTAACAACAACTTGCCTAATTTAAGTGGTAATGGGCGGGTGGTGGTGGATAAGGTTCGGTCAAAGTCAAGTTTTGGTAAGATGACAAGTGATGTGAATGGAAATGGAAATGGTAATAATCCGAATGGTTTGGGTGAACAGAACCGTGGTCCTAGATCAAACAGTCGGTTGAGTGTTAAAGCCTACTCAACTAGAGCTGGGAATAGTGATGCACAAGGAAACATTGTAATCTCCATGGACAACTACAACAAGGATGATTTCCCTGTGGAGTATGTGAATGCAAAGTTCTTTGTTATAAAATCATACAGTGAGGATGATGTTCATAAGAGTATCAAGTATAATGTATGGTCGTCTACACCTAATGGAAACAAGAAACTCAACACTGCTTATGAAGAAGCCCAGAAAATATCACAAGGGGACTGTCCTGTCTTCCTGTTTTTCTCTGTAAGTTTAAGTTGGGAGTACAAGTTTTAGAAACTGATTTACCATTTTTATAGCTGAAATAAATTATTAAGTATTATGGATAACAGGTGAATGCAAGTGGGCAGTTTTGTGGGGTTGCTGAGATGAGTGGGCATGTGGATTTCCATAAAGATATGGATTTTTGGCAACAAGACAAATGGAGTGGGAGTTTTCCAGTGAAGTGGCATATAATTAAAGATGTACCAAATCCCCACTTCCGTCACATCATATTAGAAAACAATGAGCATAAACCAGTAACAAACAGCCGCGATACACAAGAGGTTAGTTTGTTTTATTTATCATAACAACATCAACAATCTGTTTGGTGGAATGGAATATGATAACAGAATGAGTCATTAATTACATTCCATGATCATGTTTTGGTTTAATCAAACATTCCACCAAATCTATATGTTGAATGAAGTTATTTTGTATGTTTGGGGCATTGACTTTATTTTTAATTATGATTTGATTTGGTTTTGGTGCAGATAAAGTATAAAAAAGGAATAGAAATGCTGAAAATATTCAAGAACTATACATGGAAGACATCTTTACTTGATGATTTCATGTACTATGAGAACCGACAAAAGATATTACAGGAAGAGAAAGCCAGATTACTAATCAAAAGCTACGGCACTCCAGTATTTGTCCCTGTTCTTCACCCTCCCCGCAAACTTAATAATAATAATAATAATTCAAATAACTTGTATGATTTGGCCTCCACAACCACAACCACAACTACAACTGGAGATGAAAATTCTCCCTCTCATGATATAATAAAAAATACTTCAACTTCAACTCATCAAGATAGACAACAAGTGGTTGTTGAAGATAAAGATGTTTTACATTTTCAATCCCTCTCTATAAACCAAGAAGAAGAAGATGTTGGTGGTGGTGGTGTTTTGACGGTGGGGTCAATGCCAGTCAAAGTCAACGGGTATGGTCAGACTTCTGGTTTTTTGACAGTGGGAACGATCCCGCTTGATCCTAAAGCTTTGATGAAGGTAAAAGAAGGCCAAGCTGGTGATTCTAAAAACAAAGGCTAAAAATTGTCATGTCATATTTGTATAATTTTCAATGCTATAGCTATTGGGATTGGTTTGGTATGGTATGGGAGGGGGGTAGGTAATAGGGAAAAGTTGATTGTTATTTTGGGGTTAAGTTGTGTTTTGGTTTTTGGGAATGGTGTGGGTTGGGTGATACTAATCTGAAAAATACAAAGTGTAAACCTTTTGCATTTTTTCTTCTCTTGCATTGTTATCGGATTTAAAGGTATACAGACTTTTTTTATGTTTATTTTTTAAATATAATTTTTATCTTTATAATGGAACATAAGTAAGTAATACTGTTTATTATTATCCTTGGTACAAAGAATGACTACTTTTTACATGTCACCAAATACACGGTCCTACTTACATAAGAAAAGAAATGCCTCTGATATAAATAACATTATGTAATATGTAATTTTTTTAAGCAGTAAATAGTAATCAACTTGTCAAATGTCCTCCTATATTGGTGGCTCAACTTTCATTTTACCATTTAAGTCTTGAAGCCGCCTTTTTGTTCCGCTGTTATAACTTAGGGTTAATGTCAATTCTGATCCACCAACTATTCGTTTTGATATTGTTTGGCCACTAATCATTTTTTTGTGCATTTTCCTGCACAAAGCATCGATATCTTCATTCATCCACAAATCTGGTACCATACATGCACACATGTCGACTTCTCTGTCTATGTGTTTCCTTTGTTTTTAGATTAGGGTCTGTTCATAGAGGCGGCTATTGTTGGTGGTGGAGTAATGGACCCAAAAAGAGAGAAACAGAAGAATGTGCACAAGTTGTTGTGTCTGTACAATCAATATGCATTTTGAAAACAAAATAGAACGAGATTCAATGAGAGAGGGAGTTCGATCTAGAGATAAAAAAAGAAAGAAACAACGTTGGATTCATATATGAGAGCTCAATCAATAGACACAAGAAGGAAACATTGCAAAGTTGAGTTTCGTTTTTTTGTTATTTAACATGGGGTTCACCCCCGGGTTTATGTGCCTGTTTTTTAGAAACTAAAAACGATCTATTTTATTATTTTTATTATTATTTTTGTAGACTTGGATTCATTATGTTGATCTATATCCACCATTTAGCTTTTGATATTGGTTTATTCACATATTCTCATATGGCCGATTCATTTTTGCAATTTAAAATGGTGGTGGGAGGTAGATGGTGTTGTTGTTCATCAAGAACAAAAACTTAAGAGTTTTTTTTTTCTGAACTTATCTTCTCATTTTCATGTAAATTATTATTTATAATAATAATTTGAAATTTCAATAAATAATAATAAATTAGAATTTTAAGAGAATAATCCATGTAGAAATCACGTGGACCCACTATGTTGATGTTAGCATCATATCAATATGGCATGCCACATAGTGCTGATAACTAGATAACTTCTTCACATCCCAGAAAAAAGAAGGCTTATTTGACATATTAAATGACCTACAATGCACAAACAAGATCAAAACGAACAATTGGTAAGTCAACAATGCCATTAACTCTATAACTTATGAAGTTACACAAGTTGTATAATACAAGTCTTGTTGTATGAATTGTGAGGTAAATATCTTAGTAATCTATTATATTTATAGCTTAGTAACAATTACTATCTTAAACAAAATAGATTCATTTTGGATATTTTTTAAAAGTTAAGCGGATGTTAATAAAATTAAGCATTAGTTAATTTTAATTTAAGAGCCAACAAGTGAAGGAATATATCTTTGAGGTGCTCAGAAATAGCAATGTACTTTGGTAGAAGGTAATTTTACTCCATTTAGCTAAGGGGTGAGAGATCAAAACAAATTCATTTTCTGAACGCGCGTACATATAAAAGCTCCCTCTTGACGTTTACACGACATTAGGGACTTAACAATCTTGAATCATTCTAACCTAACTTGCTCTTGAAACATTTCCTTGAGTTGATAGTTTATGTCGTATGCACCCCAGTTATCAAATCCATTTTGGAGCTCAGAGGACATAGTTGCCAACATAAGGCAAGCAACCTTAGTCGACTCATCGTAGTGTTTATTGTAAGCAACAATTTCTTCGTCAGTAAATTCTTTAGTGATTTTAGGGAGTTCACCATCGAGAACATACTCTTTGTTCTTGTACCTCAAGGTGATCCTTAAGGTGCGGATCCAATGTAGGTAGTTTATGATGGGTTTTAGCCATAAGAACATCCTATGTGCTCATACAAACCCTAATGCTTGGATCTAGGTTTCTCTATTGTATATGCAATTCATCCAAGACTATAAACCCTAGATCTAGTATATGATAATCAATATAACATATGAATGAGGGTTTAGATCATACCTTGATTGTTATGTATCAATAACATGATGGGTTTTAGGTACAACAAATAAACTAGAAAACAATTCCTAAGTTCACATGCAACCTACTTTGGA